TAATCTCCGTCAGAACGGTCTCAAGATGAATTTTCCTGTGGTCAAACTGACGCTGTAGGAAAAACACCATAGTTTGGAAGTGATCTAATCAGATAGGGTTATCCTCTAATAGATTCTGATCCACTGCAAACATTGACGATATTGGTCGCTTAAATCACGGAGCAAATGTGAGTTTTGGAGACGTCTTCCTCCAATGACCTCGTGGTGTCCCTCTTATTTACCCTGTTATCAGGGGAAGGCGTTACTGACACGAGATGGTCTGCTTCCCAATCGGGTACATGTGCTAAGCTGATCATGTGCCGGTTACGTAACCGAGTACACTGTAAGCCTTGGGCTAACGTCATTGTAGAGACCTTGATTGGTACGCAGACGCTGCGCTCAGCGCAGGTCTGGAATGTTGGAACAGCGCTAAGCTGATCGTGCGTCACTTGCGTGATAGGAGCGCTTGGGTATCAGTCAGACGCTGCGCTCGGCGCAGGTCTATGCTGGATATGTTGGAACAGCGCTAAGCTGATCGTGCGCCGCTTGCGTAATAGAAATGCTTGGGTTGTAGTCAAGTGCTGCGCTCGGCGCAGATAAATCAGACACAAAGCTCAAAAGTATTGACTGGATCAAGGCTTGCGTCTAATCTACCCCCATCATAGCATCTCGATACGCTGGTGCTGGTGCTGTCGCCGACGTCACAGATTATCATACATGTATCTGGAAGTGTCCGGCGGCTGAAAAAATAGGAGCAGTTACGATACTCACAAAATCCTCCGGTATTGTTGATTTCGGTGGATGGTGTACTTCTGCAATCACAGGCGTCATAATACCTGCCGATAATAACGGTTGGGTGGTAATGACAGAACCATATGTAATTCGCTATTCTGCGATAATGACATTCCTCTCGTCTCACGACGGAATAACTGCAAAATATGATTGGAGTAATCTGCTTTTATATAGTAAACTCGTTGGATTAGAGATTTACACAAAAATTACATTTTGAATTTTGGCGAGCACATCTACGTGCATGCCTATGACCGTGGATAAAGAGCTTTGGGCGATTATTCCACGACAATATGTACACCACGCAAACATAAGTTACGCAATTAACCCATTGAAGAAATGGTACTGAAAGAATGGCGTAGAATTGAACAGTAATCTATCGGCAAAAATACGAATTGCAAGGGTATACAATATTTTTATATACGCAATTCAATGTAAACCAAAGCTATTTACATTTAGAGATTGGAGAGCACATCCGCGCGCAAACCAACCAACGTGGATGATAATCTTTGTAAGGTTTTTTTTTTTTTTTCCACGACAATTAGTACAATGCTCAATGGTATGTTACGCAATTAAACCCTTGTTGATGAGACAATACTGGAAGAGTGCCGAAGAATTTGAACACTAATCTATCGGCAAATTTATGAGTTGCAAGGGTATACAATATTTTTGTATGCGCAACTCAATGTAAACCAAGGGTATTTATATTTTCATTTAGGGTTTGGAGAGCACATCTGCGCGCAAACCAAACAACGTAGATGATAATCTTTGTAAGATTTTTCCCACGATAATTAGTACCACGCTCAATCATAAGTTACACAATTACGCCATTGTTGATGAGGCGGTACTTGAAGAATGCCATAGAATTGAACAATAATCTATCGGCAAAAACTACGAGTTGCAAGAGTATACAAAGTTCATATACGCAACTCAATGTAAAACCAAAAATACCAACAAAAAACTATTTAATCGCATAAACATAGGTACGCAATAAAAGAATTGTTGATGAAGCGGGACTGGAAGAAAGCCGTAGATTTGATATTAATCTATCGGCAACCATATTTTTAACGAGTTGAAAAAGTATACAATAATTTTAGTATACGCAACTCACTGTTACGCCAAAGCTAGTAGTATTTAAAAACATAAAAAAATGTTATACATACGTAGCTGAGAATTGTAAACAATATGACTACCTTGGCAGGCAAACGATTGTAACACAATTCAAAATGGCGGCGAACAACAATATTTTGGCGGGAAAAAAGACGAGAGTCTTTTCATGCCTAATTAATTCACATAAAACTACACAACATGGTGAAAGTAATATGAAAAGAATACATCACCCATCGAAGATCAATTTTTAAGATTGTAGACAAACTGAAGGTCTAAAATTAATCCAAAAGGAGAGCTCCGCTTGGACACGTCCTAGCTGTGCTGCGACAAGCAGTGATGTGAAGATGACCTTAGGTGTCATCAAGGTCACAGGACAGCGACGGACGGCCACTGATTGGGACTTGAGAACAACAACTTTATTTCTTCACCCAGGACCTTCGCAGCGCTGTCCTTCTAGTTGTCGTAAGTAAGCAGTGAATGCATTAAGGAGTAATGCAGGATAAGTAAAAAATATTGATTTAAACCTGATACACATGATAGGAGTAGACATTATTTATGGGAAAGTTATAGAACTAAAACTGCTGCCATGCATTTGGTGGGAAATGTTACCTGCACAGGGTGCGACCTTAAAATAAAATTGACCTGCACTAGCAGTGTTTTACCATCTTCCCGAGGCCAGGGAGTTTACCGAGTGTAAAAGTCCAGTTTCCACTCCTGCCAAACTAGGCTGGAATTTCTAGGCTCAATCAAAGCACCTTCCTATTGACCAATAAAATTTCCACCTCTCATAAAACTTTGCCTCTAACGAAAAGGTGGTGCCCAGTCAAGACAATTGTGATATAACGGGTCTTACTTCGCTTATCTGTTGACGTGGAGTTGGCCTTACACCTGCTTTGCAGATCATGCAATTGACTGAACTGAACTTTCGAACTGGATGTTGACTTTGTTACGCAATTTTGATTCCATGATGCAGACTCGTTATTCCAGCCAAAATATAATTCCATAATTCCAACTTAGTTCGGCAGGGTGAAAACAGAATTTTTTTAGTCATTAACTACGTTGCATCAGGAAAGTGTCTTTTGCCTGCACTGGTGCAGCTTGGACATAGCGAAATCAAAGCCTGATTATTTCAACTGCTGCTTTTGTTGTTATCACAAACATTTGCCCCTCTCCAGGCCTCAAAGTTGAGACTAAAACAGTAGCCAATGCAACCTAAATTTCAATTAGTCAACTGTCTAAAATTCAGAGCTAACCAAATGACTACCTAGAAAAATATCTTGTGGTGACTAAATTCTATTGCTACACATCTGTAGACACACACAAAAATAACAGCTGATATCGGAAAACATGTCTGCTTATAATTGTACTCGCAAATAATTCCTCTTAAAGTTAACAATGAACCAAAATACATAAAAATTAATGTAATTAGTACTTTATTTTATTTGACAATGCTTATTGGATAAGCGAGGATATACCTATATAAACTAGTACAGCTTTAGAAATTGGCATTAGTCCTGTAGTCCTTACCAAACTGCCCAATAGTAAAGGTATCCTATGGACCAGTAGAAATTGACCCATTTTAAGGGTTTTGCTATATGTTTTCATTATAAGGACTAGTGGATTAGTTTCTAACCATGTAGTAACATAAATTGCATCATTGTTCAAGTCATAAGTAACAAAATTAAACAAGAGTCATCAGAAAGATGACATATCCCCCCGGCAGCTGTCTGTAAAGTAACCACAAGTAAATGTGCAATTCTGTATGTAATGAGTCAAAAGTTGAATGTTCTTTAAGAAGCATACATTGTTTACCAACAAAAGATCCACAATGGTCGCATCCATATGAAATGGAAAGTAAAACATGTGTGTTTCTGTAGTTTTTTTTTATGCAAACAAATGAAAAATTACAAGAAACAAGCGTATAGTCAACGAAGTCATCTATATCCCCCACCCATTTTAACACGTTATGGTCCCAAACCAGGTAACTGACCCAACATTTCTCTAAGCCCATGTCAAAATAGCTGCAATGGAAATTCTAAAATAAACATTAAAACTCCTTAATATCAAATGGCACCTGTTCAGTATGTACGTTATATATGGACATGCAATGTTTGGCAAGGAAATATTTAACAGTTTATTTGTTATACTCCATATGTGAACCCACCCTATATGAAAACTTAAATCATACTTGTTGCCATGGAAACGTAAAACATAAAAAAATAAAAATTAATAAATAGCAAAAGGCACCAGTTGAGTATGTGCCTGGTAGACATGCAAAGTTTTGTAAGAAAGTATTTAACGGTTTTTGAGTTACGCTCCGGAAACGAACACAACCCTTATAGAACCTAAGTCCAACTTGTTGCTATGTAAACGTTAAAAATTAAAATTTCTAAAATTCCTAAATAGCAAAAGGCACCAGTTCAGCATGAGTCTGATAGACATGCAAAGTTTTGTAAGAAAGTTTTGAATGGGTTTTGAGTTATGCTCCGGAAACAAACTCTACCCTATAGAACCTAAGTCCAACTGGCTGCCATGGAAACGTAAAAAATAAAAAAAATAAAAATTCCTAAATAGCAAAAGGCACCAGTTCAGTTTGTGCCTGGTAGACATGCAAAGTTTTGTAAGAAATTATTTAATGGTTTTTAAGTTACGCTCCGGAAACGAACACCACCCTTATAGAACCTAAGTCCAACTTGTTACCATGGAAACGTAAAAAATAAAAATTTCTAAAATTCCTAAATAGCAAAAGGCACCAGTTCAGTATGTGACTGATAGATATGCCAAGTTTCGATCATATACACTGAATTATTTTCAAGTTCTGCCCCGGAAAAGGAAATGATTACAGACGGACAGACGGACGGACAAGACAGACTGGCTGATCGTTATATCCCGCATTATGTGCCGGGTGGGATAAAAAGTAGTTTCCATTAAGATACAATTTCAAGACTAGTGCTGTAATTTGTACATATTATAATAGTTATTTGATAATGATAATTTCAAATGCATTTGGCTACCTACAATATTGGCTTGACTTCTTGATTTTACCACATGGTACCTGGAAAACAATACTTGTAGCCATATGGCTACTTGTTAAAAATCTAAACCTGGAGGTCTGCTCTCACCTGTGACAGCTCCACATCTCCCTGGTAGAACTTGTCGTCAGTCTGGTCAGCGTTGAGGACCTGGGCCACGGTGCTGGGCATGATGTTCTGGGCTCGGGTCCGACTCTGACCAGGAAACAGGACAATCAGCATCAATCAGCATCAAGTAGTAGGCAGTCACACTTACCTTACAGGCTCACATTGTCTACTGTTCTGCTTTTACTATTCAACATTAAATGGTGCCTCATAGTCATGGTCTTACACGGGTTGATTCTCATTTTGGCTTTCACAAGCTCATTTGTAGAAGTCAACAATATTCCAGCAATATCACTTTGTTCTGTGAATCAAGTCTGGATCAGACACACCAGTGACAGAAAGCAGGAGTATGATTAGTCCAGTCAATCGAGGACAACATAGTAGCAAACCTCTTACTAATTGCAACAGAATTTATGCTTCGTGTTTCTTGTACGTGAATATGCAGCACATAGCATATGAAATGAATATATATCTCAATAGGGGAAAGTTTAGTAAAATCAAAATATTTTATACATTTGGATACTTAGCCTGCATTTGTTCCTCAATGCTTCTACTTCTGTTATTTTGACCTAGGAAGATGGAGCTGTGAGAGGTCCTGGCTACAGAAGTTGTTGTACCAACCAGTTTTGTGGCTTACTTCCTCCCACAGCCACCATGTGTCCGGAAGTGGCGAGGTCACGTATAACCACATCACTGATATAAATGGACTTCTGAAAGAACTTCACGGGGAGATAGCAAAGCAATGGAAGAGCACTTTAGATGTAGTAATGCAGGAAGAGTATCCAAATATAGAAACTATTGAGATTTTACTAAAAAAAAATTATCTTATCCTGCATTACTACCTTAATGCATCTTTATCAGATGGAATGGAAGGGGGCATGCCTTTCAGATGAAATTTAGAATTGACCCTCCAACCAGTCCGGGTACACAAATAGCATCATGTGCAGGAAAAACGGAAACAACAGACCTTCCTGTCCAATAGAGCCACATGAAGTAGAGTAGGAGGTGTTAAGTCCAGTCATGGAAAACAGGAAAAATTGAAAAGAGCTTTGACCAAGCTCATGCAGTTGGAATAAGGGGAAACATGAAACCCCTTGTCTGGGGTAAATACTACCAGACAGGTCGCAGGGTCAGTTCCGAGGTGTAAGGATCAAGGTCGTCTGGGGTGAGTGACTTGCTGCACCACCACCAGTGACCGAAACTATGAACACCTTGTACATCGTCAAGAGCCTAATGACTGAGATAATGACTGGCGAAGACAGTATCCGAGCACCAAAAACAACCTCCATGATGGATTGGATGGAACAGTTGCTGTAGAGGGCCATGTTCAAGGTGCTAGTCTGTACGCCTGCAGTATAATGGAGCATAGCCATAGTCAGATAGTCTTAGGACTAACTTCCATTTTGGAAGTAGGCGAGACCAGAATAAAAAATCCAAGATCATGTTGTGTCTTGGATCGATGGAGGAAAACCCTGAAGGTTCGAACTGGGCACAGAAGTAGTTCATCCTCATCTTCGGATCCCACTATTGACATGATTGATAAGGAAGGAACAGTGAAAGATCTGTCCAGCAGTCCTGGGAGTTGATGCTTAGTGATGGAATCCCAGCACAGCCCAAACCACTATGTACTCTGTGCTCAAACTGTGCTCGGGAGACATCAAGAGTGACCTGACTCGAGCTACCGTAGCCAATGCCAAGAGATTGGCAAGATTGAAGAAAGACGATGAGACTGGCATTGATTCTGATCCTGTGTAGTTAGACGAAAGTAACTGAAGTAAATAATTAATCACACTGTTTTGTTGTAACTTCCATTTGAATGTTTCACAACAGTGTCTATATAGATGTTGATGCCAATTCAAACAAGTGCAAAAGTGAGCGTGGCTCACTAATACCCCGACCCACCTAGTGTGTCGGTAGTTACAAATTAAATAGCTAGGATAGGGTTAGGGTTTGAAAAATTCATAAAAAAATGGAAAATTAATATAAAAAAAAAATTCTTTTGACTGCACCCCTCCATATGACACATATTTTATGTGTACTAAGTTTGAGATGAATCCACTGAATAGTTTTAGAGAAATCACGCGTACAAAGTTTTCGGACAGACGTTGGGGTTTGAAAAATTCATTAAAAAATAGAAAATTAACAAGAGTTTGCCACTAACGTGGCTATATCCCCCGCCCCTGTTGCAGAATTTATGACATAATTATATCTAAACAAACCATAACCTTTTTTTAACCGAGGTTGAACTTGTCATGGAAATTGTAAAAAAAAGAAGAGTTTGGAACCTCAGTCCATCTTGTTGCCATGGAAACGTAAAAAAATAAAAATTTCTAAAATTTCTAAATAGCAAAAGGCACCAGTTCAGCATGTACCTGACAGATCTGCAAAGTTTGATGAAAAAATATTGAATGGTTTATGAGTTATGCTCCGGAAACTAACCCTCCCCTCACAGAACCTATGTCCATCTTGTTGCCATGGAAACGTAAAAAATAAAAATTTCTTAAATTTCTAAATAGCAAAAGGCACCAGTTCAGCATGTACCTGACAGACCTGCAAAGTTTGATGAAAAAATATTGAACGGTTTATGAGTTATACTCCGGAAACGAAACGTGACGGACAGAAGGATGGACGGAGCCTGTTTCTATATCCCCCGCCAACTTCGTTGGGAGGGGGATAATAAAAACAATTTTTTTCTTTTGACTGCACCCCTCCATATGACACAGATTACATGTACTAAGTTTGAGATGAATCCACTGAATAGTTTAAGAGAAATTGCGGGGACAAAGTTTTCGGACGGACGTTAGGGTTTGAAAAATTCATTAAAAAATGGAAAATTAATCAAAACAATTCTTTTCTTTTGACTGCACCCTCCATATGACACACATTATATGTACTAAGTTTGAGATGAATCCCCTGAATAGTTTAAGAGAAATCTTGCGGATAAAGTTTTCGGACGGACGGACGGACCCTTGGACATTTTGTCGGGGTTATAATTAAATGTGACCATTATTAGACATGCACGAATCAAAAATTAAAGTTGAAAGTGGTCTGTTGAGTAAGGCTTTGAGGTTAGCGACGCAAAGCCATTGCAACAACCAAAACTGACCACACAAAACATGATACATATAAGGTGGTATTTATGGCACTCAAATCACTACGTTTACATACTTTTCTCTTTCAAAACTCGAGTGATTCTAAGAAGTAAAAACTTACACATATTCTGATTGATTTTCATCAGAAATTGTTCCGTTGCAATTGTTTGGAGGTAAAACTGTATATTGACTGGACTAGATGCACTAGATGGGGTCTGATGATATCAATAGTATGAACAAAGTCACAGACATAAGCCAATCATGCAACAATCATACTAAAAACCTAATCCTGAATTCTTACAGGGACCAAACAAGTGCTCAAATTTGCAGTTTTATATGCCAAGGTTCTCCATGTTATCAAAGTTTTGAAACCTAAGCACATTAAGCATGTTTATAACACCATATTTTGTAATATTTTATTAAAAAGTAGCAGAAAACATGATTGACTTGAGTTGATCCCTGCTTTTCATTTTATATAATGTTTAAATACAATGACAGGACAAAAAACCTCTTTTGCATATTCTAGTTCATAAGAGCATCTTGATAGTTATTCACCTTCCTCTCTTGTGACTGCTGAGGGGTACCAAACCCCCCTGGGGACATGTACCCCCCTCCCCCACCTTGGTCTCCATAGCCACTTTGGTTGAAGCCTGAAACAACATATACAGGATATAATTAGAGTTATACAACCACATAACTCTACCTGCACATTTCACTGGAATGCTTATGTTTTCTGAACACATGCCTAATGTAAACACTGGTTCCTTCCAGATAGGGCAGTGGCAGCATACTGTCAACATGCTACTTTGAAACACTAACCTAATGGCATAAGCTGGACACTAGCACAGTAAGGCTGGGTTGAGTCCAAATTTACTACCTGGGTACCTACCTACCTTTCATCCGACCCTACCCGGGTACCCGCTGTAGGTCTCAAGAGTTGGGTACAAAATGTCAGAATGGGAAAAATATTTAGATACACGTATAAAACAATCTTGTGATGCACACACTGAATTTGACTAAAACGTCCTCCTTATTCAAACATATAAAGTCAGAAGGAATGCATGCATAGTCATATAGAAATGCAAACATTAATGACTTGTGTAACCATGAAGTCATGATGAGTTTTTGTCATTAAAAAAGATATCACATTGACTATCCACAGGTCCAGGTAGCAGACTTTACATTGGCCTGCAACTAGCTGAAGAGTTTATTTGGGTTACCGTATACTCATAGTCAACTTAAAGGGAAACAACACTCCCAAGTTTGAAAGTATTGAAATATGGATGGGTTATTATGGACTATAATTTCAAGTGGTTTGACTTGTATTCGGCGCTATTGTCACTGCACGAAGCGACACCTGTCAGAGTATCAAAGAATGAGAAGCTGTAAATCATAACAAAGGTATACAATAAACAATGATAAAGAGCTGCAGCCAAACTGACATGTGTTTTGTTGTTGATTAATGCATGTACGACTTGAAAAGCTGAAGCTGTCTGTCAACATCATATTTTGTACAAAAATAACCTACATAGTATCCCCTCAGAGAATTAAGAATAACCTACATAGTATCCCCTCAGAGAATTAAGAATAACCTACATAGTATCCCCTCAGAGAATTAAGAATAACCTACATAGTATGCCCTCAGAGAATTAAGGTAAACAAACAGGTGATAACAAAATTGATCAACAAAAATGTGAAATTCAGATAAATTAATATTAAAATTATCACTGAACATGATGATTTACCATTTAAATTGTATTTTCTGTTTTGCCTGGCATTGTTTTACATGCAGGAATAAAGATTACAATGTGTATTTTCCCGTAAACTAAGCCAGAAATAGCAATCAGCTGTGTGCTCATTTCCTACCAATCTACCAGTGATTCAGTTAAAAATGCACAATAAAAGTAAATTTGTCTTTGAAGAATTTTGATGCAATGATCGGATGAATAGTATCTGAAACTATTATTTTATCTTTATCTATATTTTGCAGTTTTCGTCAGGTAATCTGAGTAGTTCTACCACTAATCATGCTAATTATACCTGTAATAATAAACCTAGCATCAAGAGAATGACGACAAATACACAGGTGGCAATATTGAAACAATATGTTAATCTAGAAATCTGTACATAAAACTTAATTACTTAGTGTTAAACCGAACAAACCAAAAAATGGTACACAATTAACAAATATACTACAACATTCATATATATATATGTTGCCAAATCCATTTGTCAACAGAAAGATTTCCTTCATTCACTAGCAATGTGCAACCTCTTTGCAAAGAATGACACACTGATTAGTGAACTCTGGCAAGCGTATTTCAAATTTCTGGGGAAATAAATCCTTTTGTGTTATATCTATACTATAGGTTGCAAGTAGATCAACTCTGGTCCCCCAAATAACATTTTTCAGTATGTTCGCTTCATCTGCTTTATCTAAACATCTACATATCTTTACGATTGGGTCTTGCGAGTTTGTAAAATATGACAACAGGGTTAGAAACTAACAGTTTTTGTCCACTAGTCCTTATAATGATAACATGTAGAAAAACCCTTTAAATGGGCCAATTTCTACTCGTCCTTGGATACCTTCACTATTGGGCAGTTTCGTAAGGACTACAGGACTAGTGCCAATCTCTAACGCTGTGACAATATATCCGATCAGAATATAACTTCTCTTATTCTTATCTGACCCTGATATGTGCAGTCCGCATATGTGTGGTATAAGAGAATAACATTATCTATCATGGACAAAATACCGATCTCGTATTGTCTAATGTTGTCATTTACCTCCTCCTTGATTCTGCCACATTTTTTATAAGATGTCTCTGGGCAAGGCTTGTATAATAATGTTCCACTGTCAGCAAAACTAGAAGAAAATTCACTCAGAAGATGGCGGGAACTTGCACATTGTGCTGACCAATCACATTAGTGCAAAATGTAACTTAGAGTTATTTCCCTTTGAGTTAGAAAATATTCCTAAAGCAGTGATTTTAAAGGCGCTTATTCGAACCTCTTGACTGTGACAACCGCTAGCCCATTCAATCTGCAACAATAACAGTGCTATAATATTCATCCTCATTCACACACATTTCATCACCACCCGACACGTCATCAAAACATTATAATTTGTAATTTATACAAATTTTCTAAAACTATTTCGTATGCATTGTGCCTCAAATTTTACACACCCAACAATCAAATATATTCTGATGTGTTTTAACTTCGGTGTAAGACAATACATTTACCTGTTCTCTTAGAGCGCTGGAAGAGACGCGTAAATGTTTATATAGTAACAAGAGATATTATATTTGGTAGGTGAGTTCATACAGGTTACAGGAACAATGTCAGGAAGGAATATATGGATGTCAACTTCTTTATTATGAGGAACAACGTTTCGGAGTATATGCTTACTCCTTCATCAGGTGAATGGAGAGCATATATATGTACATGTAAGGACAGCAAAATCAATAAGATAACAAAAGGTAGAAAATAACAAAGCGTAGAAAGTAACAACGGATTGGCGCTGATAGGTGATTAGCAATAAGACAATTGAAGCCAATATTTTACAGCAATTAGCGCTGATGGTATGGAAACCAGTACTTAAATTATTATAGATAAGTGATAGGTGAAGGACCCTGGGCAAACGGGAGGCCGGGGGTAACTAGCACTGGTAGGTGAAAGGATGGACATAACAATGGGCAAATTGAAGCCAGCTAGGTAATTAGCACCGACAAAGATCAAAGCAATAAGTCCCAAGCACTGGGCAGATCGGTTCCCTGGTCACGGTTCATGGCTGGCTCGTGTCTCCTGATGTCAATGTCAAAATTCTTGTAGTACTCTTTGTCGCCAGTTGTTCTTGTTGGTAGACAGGACTGTGGCTTCCCACATGATGTTATGGTTTTAGTTCTTCGGGATGTGTTCGGAAATAGCGGATTTCAGGTCGAATTTGTTAACAGAGGTCAGATGCTCTTTGAGTCTGGTGTTGAGGGGTCTCAGGGTTTCTCCAATGTTTTGGTGGCAAAAGTTGCAGGGGATTCATTCACCTGATGATGGAGTAAGCATATACTCCGAAACGTCGTGTTCCTCATAATAAAGAAGTTGACGTCCACACATTCTCTTCCTTATGTGTATTATTTCCAAATGCCTTTCAAAGACCAGGAACAATGTCGATTAGTATGTTATGTGTTACATAATACTTCTACTCACAACTATCTTTCTTACCTGTGCACTTGTATTTTCAATGGTATGAAATGTTTATGGTGCATATCAACATCAGTGTCGCGACAGCGTTGCGCCTATTTTCATTACTTATCTCTCATTAATCTCAACAGAAATAATGTCAAAAGTCATCTCATATCATAAATATGATTGACGAGATCACATGATAGTATCATACTCACCACACCTTTTATATAAAAAAAACAAATCTTAAATAATGTATATTTACGCCGTTTTCTCAAAGTCATGGTTCCGTTGATGTCCTTTCGTCTAATGCGCCCCACCTGACAATTGTGGGTATTTCAGCGTAGCTGTTGTGAAAATATCACAAAAAAACATCTTTCAAAGTAACATAAGTGATTTAGTTCTGATTTTTTAATTCCTGTTAATATAAAATATATATACTGTCTGGCATTTCGAATTGACTTAATCTAAAGGCAATGTTGTTTTAAATGGACATCATTTTGATCAATAAAGTTGACAGTCGACATGGTGTTCAGAAATACCGAAGAAATCTGAATGAGCATTCTGGCAACTCAGTGTGTTTGATGTATATCCACCTCCGTGAAGATCCGGGGTAGAATAGGTCTTCAGAAACCCATGCTTCCCGTAAAAGGCGACTATGCTTGTCGTAAAAGGCGACTAACGGGATCTGGTGGTCAGGCTCGCTGACACGGTTGACGCATGTCCTCGTATCCCAATTGTGTGGATCGATGCTCATGATGTCAATCACTGGACTGTCTGCTCCAGACTCGATTATTTACAGACCTCCATCACTTAGATGGAATTTTTGCTGAGTGCGACGTTGAACACTAAACAATAGAAAACCGTCTTGTAGTTTATGATTACCATACTTTAATACATAATGATAAACTATTCTGATGACGTCTTGTGAACCAGGAATTCTCTGTAAAAGTCCAGTTTTCACCCTTGCCGAACTTGGGGGGATTTTGCTTCTAACAAAATGGCGGCGCCCAGTTAAGACGATCTGATCGATGATCAAGGTTTTTGTTTGCGATACAATGGGTCTTATCTCGCGAAGTAAATCAGATCACTTGAGCACCTTGATTGAAGCATGAACAGATTTGGAAAACATCTGTCCACGTCCAGTTGACGGGTACACATGCTCTGCAAATCCTGCAGTCGAAATGAAATCAGCCCCCAAAAATAACTCCTTATTTCCGGCCAAGCTCAGCAAGGATGGAAACTTAACCTTTTTTAGTCAGTTAACTCCCTTGCCTCAGGAAGATGAATGAACGAGGTGTTGTTGGATTTATCACAAAGTTTGACACCTCATAACTTGTTAAGTATATTACATAGATATACCCCGCGCATATCTTCTTGTTCAACAAGCCTTTCTTTTTACCATTCCCAAACAATAGTAACAAATATGAATATTAAGTATCTCCTACAGTTAAACATTCTATATGTTCCAGTTTGTTGTTGCACTGGCTGGTTAGCATCCTTTGACCCGGCCACAAGGGTTAAATAGGGGTCATCAATATCTGTGCTTTGTGTACAAGAGTGTGCTCTCGATGTTTTATTCCAAATTTAATTATTGAAAAGAATAATATTTGTTAAAAGACTGCTAATTGATTAAGTCTCCCGAAAACAAAATAGTGATAGAGATGGTTATTATAGTTATAAAATGGTTAAAGAATGTAAAACTTAAATTGATGGGAATATAGACATTTGGAATATATACTTATAGAAAAACAAAGTTTTGAAAACAAATCGTATTACTAAACTGGTGAAACTACCTTCGCCATATCGGACAGTGGTTATCAATTTAAAATGACACGTGTGATACTTTTTTATACCGTTATTCAGGCTAGATATAACGTCTTCATAAACATTTCTTCTTCAATTTTCTAAGTAATCCGGTGATTCATCTGTTCGTAGAGATATTTTTAAGAAAACAACACAAGAACGCAACTGTAACTACTGATTGACTGCACGCGCCTATGGGCGGTGTTTTGATTATTTAATTTACTGAAAATAATTTCTAACGTCATAGTCAACGTATTCCAGTTATATCACATCAGCCAGTAAATAATCGTACTCCTGGAAAATTCGTAACCCTAAAAATGATTATACTTCGTAACCCTGAAAATAAGAAACTTCGGAACATTATTTCGTATTTCTAAATAGTATTCAAGGCTAACTTAGTGGCTAACTTAGAGGGGTTACACGATCTGCTTCGTTCTTGAGGAAGGGTACCATGCGAGACGAAAAATGGCACAACAATAATGTTAACCCTCTTAATTATAACATATATATACATGTAGCCTTTTTGTATTATTACCAAACGCTTGTCAGTAATATTTTGCAGCTCACACTCCCTTTGATAAAAAAAAGTTTATCCTAATCAAAATCATATTAATTTTATTGAAATGTTAATAGTGTAATTACTTTTTTTAAATTATGCCTAAAAGGTATCTGTCTTCGGTTTCAAAGCCGATGTATAACCATCATGTCACAAAAAAAGATGAATGATATTCTTCTTCTTCTGGTGAGTATGCGTTATTATTGTAAATCAAAATCCTTTTCTTGTGAATTGAAGGTATATTTACTTGTTTTCATTCATGTGCAGGGAATGCCAAAAATAGAACATGATACACAAAATACTATATCAGCACTCAAAACGCGCACCTGCTAGGCTTCTGACTGCGGTTGAGGGCGCGTACCACACGGAATCGGGTAATATCCTACTTTCCCTACAACTGTATAAATATAAGGATGACCGATATTGTGAAATCAACGTTTCTTACCTTTACAATTGATAGAAATCACATCAAGTGTATTTAAATTCGACGTTTAACTATTCTGTTTACAAAATGTCCATGATTTACCAAAGTTTTCCCTTTTAGTTACAATGTTTTTATTTTACATAAAAATATGTGTCGTGGTTGAACACATTTAATCCATGGCAGCCATGATCTAACTAACTTGAAACAGGAAAGGAGTACCGGAATTGTCACGTTAGATATCTACATCGTGTTTAGATTTTCCTTTATTGTTTACACAGAGGAGGTGAATGATACACTCGCACTGGAATTCATGGATAAGTGTCAATAATGTGATTGCATCTTCGGTCAAAGCGACCGGGTCTCGAGTTGCTGGACAGGAATTTCACATCGCAAGTCAAGCGCCAAATGTGATGAGCTGCGATTAATGTCAAATGGTGGAACTTCTTTTAGCCCTGGCGTTGCTGCCAATATGTGTTGTTAAATGGCGAAATATGTCATTTGGTTAAATGACATTTATTACATCATCAAAGCTGAAATGTGTAAATGAGACACAGTACGAAAGTGTCGGTGATTTGGGGGCGGTTTGATGTTGACAGAGTTGACAGTTAATCTCAACTCAAGTGATTACCGTCCCTCAGCTGAATATACGTGCATCTGTTGAAATTAAATTTTAATCGCCTGTAGGATCAGACTTGTGAAGATCCCAAGATGGTGATGTCAGATACAGATTACAAGCGGCGGCTAGCCAGCCTTGAAGAAAAGATGAGAAATCCAAATTCAGAGATAAATGTAGATGGTTTGCTGGTAAGTTATCACCCCCTGACCTAACATAGATGGGTCTCTTTCATTTTTGTTGACAATTGTGCATTATGTGTACAAATATCACAGTATGCTTACCCAAGGAACACAGGTAAGACTTCAGCTCCCCCCTACAAAATATATATCACTAAAAGGATTGAGCGTCAATGCATACATATACAACTTGTGGAGGGGGGATATGAGTGGGAGTCTTTCCGAAACATCATTGTCTTCAGCAAGCATGGCAAGTGAAGTTCGATGACAGTCAAAGACTCACAAGGTTCAGTTAGCCTGAAACATGAAAAAGAAGTTGTTTTGTTGTATAAGTATTGACAATGCTTCTGAACGTAAGGTTCTCATTATCTCCAAGGGTTTAAGAAATAATTTTATTTGAAATCCCATCTTTCTTTTTCCTGATGTCACCAGTCACTACTTTGCCTGGAGATTAATCATTTTAATTACGGAATTGCTGTTGACGTAGTAAATGTAATTAACTACTGTATCATGTCATTGTCATGATTATCAATGCTAGTTTAGAGAGTGTTTTTTCATTGTGTGAATCAGACTAAAATGATCCTGTGCCCTGACAACCCCATGTTTAGCTGGCCAAAAAAATCAACCAAAATTTACAATATAACAGACCCAGGATTTATTTGCATTTTGAAAAATTCGCCAGTGATAAACAACATGGCTGAACAGTATGTACAGAGCTCATTATTATATACTTCCATATAACAATGACACTTCCATTTGCACAGTGTTTACCATGCCAACAGAAAGGTGATTGATAATGAAACTGATTATTACTATTTGAAATTATTTTTGTTTATCATGTTTATCATGGTTTATGAATCTCAAGTGTTCACTTAATCTCAGATTTTTAAATAAACAGCTGTAATTATGGTAGTCTGCTTTTACACTGAACAACACACTTCATGAATTTAATTGTTTAGCAATGGTTGGAATATTGCTTACCAAATGATGTTGCTAAGATTGATGATAGATGGCATAGCAATCTCCACTTTTGGGTGGGTAGGGTCAAGAGGAATCCTTCTTGAAAAATGTTTCAGATTGAACAAACAGAAGTATGCAGTACCTGGTGCAGGTTTTATGAACATGAAGTCTGGAGTAATTGTTTACCACTCTGCTTAGTCTTTTTTCATATCTATGTGCAACCTAATGTTTTAATGAGGTATGTAATTATGAATCAGAGAAGGACTATTTATGCCCTCCAGTTGTCATCGTCCTGGTTGTTGACATCAATGCTACACTGCATTGCTAGTTACAATTAATGTAAAAAAGACTGTCATGCTGTCTGACAGAAACTCATCGCTTGATGTATGTAGATTTAATGTTGAAATAGAATATTCATATGCATTCTGAACATGATCATGAATTTTGAATCTCACTATTGTATGCATGCTGTCGGCAATGGTAGGAAGTAGGCAGGCCACAAGATGGAGAATGCTCATGAGTGATACACTTAAGATAGATGTCAAATAGGTAAACAACTGATGACAAATATTACAGTTCACTTACAGTTACAGTTGTCAGTGATAGTAGTAGAGATTGCTATATTTCCATGGTGTACAGGTATATTATAAAGGATTTTTTTCCCTTAATAATCTCAATATAAGGGGGCAAACAAATTTTAATTCATAAGAAGAATATTTGTTGGCTTTATGCCTTATGGTACCAGGTACAGAATAATAGCTAATCAGAGCTCCAGATAAGCTGCGTATCTGCGTAAAATACGCATTAGAAATGCAGAAATATGCAGTAAAATAAAATCCAAGCGTATCAAATACGCAACGAACATTACAGATACGCTACAAAAATAAAACTTGTGCGATTAGCAAATCAGCAACTTATTTTGAAATTATAAACAGGCATTTCGTCAACCTTGCCAAACTCGACGATGACAGTTACAGCATGATCATTTGCCATCACACTTTCTTGTGGAAGTATCATGGTATTTTTGAGTCCTATAAAGCTCTCGAACCCAGACGACACCAGTTTGCAGGGACTTGATGAAAAAATGTTTTTTAAATATTTAACTTATATACCCACATGTGTAAAAACTAGTGGGTAACAGAAATTTGAATACCGAGATAAAATAACTGATACCCAATGATTTTAAAATGCATGGGTAAAATACCCACAACACCAAAAGCTTATCTGGAGCTCTGGTATCTGCGTAAAATACGCATCAGAAATGCAGAAATATGCAGTAAAATAAAATCCAAGCCTATCAAATACGCAACGAACATTACAGATAAGCTACAAAAATAAAACTTGTGTGTATCGTCAAAATATTGTGAAGTAACCCTGCGTATTCAATTTGCAAAGGGGCGGTCGGGTAGCCTAGTGGTTAAAGCGTTGGCTCGTCACGCCGAAGACCCGGGTTCGATTCCCGACATGGGTACAATGTGTGAAGCCCATTTCTGGTGTCCCCTGCCGTGATATTGCTGGAATATTGCTAAAAGCGGCGTAAAACCATACTCACTCACTCACTCACTCGATTAGCAAATCAGCAACTTATTTTGAAATTATAAACGGGCATTCTGTCAACCTTGCCAAACTCCATGATGACAGTTACATCACGATCATTTGCCATCACACTTTCATGTGGAAGTATCGTGGTATTTTTGAGTCCTATAAAGCTCTCAAACCCACACGGCACCAGTTTGCAGGGTCTAGTGTTTTTAAATATTTAACTTAAATATCCACATGTGTAAAAACTAGTGGGTAACAGAAAATTGAATACCCAGATAGAATTACTGATACCCAATGATTTTAAAATGCATGGGTAAAATACCCACAACACCAAAAGCTTATCTGGAGCTCTGGCTAATGGATTGGGCCATATAACTTGTACTGTCCGGCATGTCTGCTAGAAATTCTTAATACTTTAGTGTAGAACATATAGCATATAATGAGAAATTCATTTCATTTGGTGATCATTACTTACTAAACAAGTACAACTTAAGGTTCATAAGATGCTGGCAGAATGTATCATATTTGTGCTTGCTGCATCATGTAATAGCATAGCCTAGATTGCATATCTTCTGTAGCATGATAGTAGTGTCTACGCTAGTGATAATCTTATATAGATGGTTGATTGGTTCCTGTATCATGTCTGTACAATCAAATCATCTGTTGTAAACACCTGCAGTCATCATGTATTGCGAAAAGAAATGTTGGATGTTCATTTCAAATGTTCAACTTCAACATGTTAATCAGCATGATCAGTGTTTGTCAGTTTTAATGATGTTCCATGTTCTAAGTAATATTTTTGGGCGCCCCCTACTACTGACAGTTTGTATTTGCTTTCACATTTAACAGAAAACAGAAGCGTAGAAGGGTTATCTAATTGCCTAGTAACATGGACATTTGAACTAAGTTTGTGCAGTACTGCCCAATACCTATAAACAAATGGAACTTGTGTGATATGTGGTTTTGTTAAGTACCCCCTTTTATATCAATTTTCTGAATGCCCTGTGTGGTTGTAGGTTTAACAGACAGCCTTCCCTGCAGTAGGTGTGAGAGTAGGTTTAACAGACATCCTTCCCTGCAGTAGATGTGAGAGTAGGTTTAACAGACAGCCTTCCCTGCAGTAGGTATGAGAGTAGGTTTAACAGACATCCTTCCCTGCAGTAGATGTGATAGTAGGTTTAACAGACATCCTTCCCTGCAGTAGATGTGAGAGTAGGTTTAACAGACAGCCTTCCCTGCAGTAGATGTGAGAGTAGGTTTAACAGACAGCCTTCCCTGCAGTAGATGTGAGAGTAGGTTTAACAGACAGCCTTCCCTGCAGTAGGTGTGAGAGTAGGTTTAACAGACAGCCTTCCCTGCAGTAGATGTAAAAGTAGGTTTAACAGACATCCTTCCCTGCAGTAGGTGTGAGAGTAGGTTTAACAGACAGCCTTCCCTGCAGTAGATGTGAGAGTAGGTTTAACAGACAGCCTTCCCTGCAGTAGATGTGAGAGTAGGTTTAACAGACAGCCTTCCCTGCAGTAGGTGTGAGAGAAGGTTTAACAGACAGCCTTCCCTGCAGTAGGTGTGAGAGTAGGTTTAACAGACAGCCTTCCCTGCAGTAGATGTGAGAGTAGGTTTAACAGACAGCCTTCCATGCAGTAGGTATGAGAGTAGGTTTAACAGACAGCCTTCCCTGCAGTAGGTGTGAGAGTAGGTTTAACAGACATCCTTCCCTGCAGTAGATGTTAGAGTAGGTTTAACAGACAGCCTTACCTGCAGTAGGTGTGAGAGTAGGTTTAACAGACATCCTTCCCTGCAGTAGATGTGAGAGTAGGTTTAACAGACAGCCTTCCCTGCAGTAGGTGTGAGAGTAGGTTTAACAGAGAGCCTTCCCTGCAGTAGATGTAAAAGTAGGTTTAACAGACAGCCTTCCCTGCAGTAGATGTGAGAGTAGGTTTAACAGACAGCCTTCCCTGCAGTAGATGTGAGAGTAGGTTTAACAGACAGCCTTCCATGCAGTAGGTATGAGAGTAGGTTTAACAGACAGCCTTCCCTGCAGTAGGTGTGAGAGTAGGTTTAACAGACATCCTTCCCTGCAGTAGATGTTAGAGTAGGTTTAACAGACAGCCTTACCTGCAGTAGGTGTGAGAGTAGGTTTAACAGACATCCTTCCCTGCAGTAGGTGTGAGAGTAGGTTTAACAGACAGCCTTCCCTGCAGTAGATGTGAGAGTAGGTTTAACAGACAGCCTTCCCTGCAGTAGATGTGAGAGTAGGTTTAACAGACAGCCTTCCCTGCAGTAGGTGTGAGAGAAGGTTTAACAGACAGCCTTCCCTGCAGTAGGTGTGAGAGTAGGTTTAACAGACAGCCTTCCCTGCAGTAGATGTAAAAGTAGGTTTAACAGACAGCCTTCCCTGCAGTAGATGTGAGAGTAGGTTTAACAGACAGCCTTCCCTGCAGTAGGTGTGAGAGTAGGTTTAACAGACAGCCTTCCCTGCAGTAGCTGTGAGAGTAGGTCTAACAGACAGC